ACCACTACATATTAAGGACAATATAAACAAAAGAAAATACAAATAATACCAATTTTAGTATGGAAGAAATAATATCAACCATAAACTAAAAAATTAAAGGAAGAATGGCAGAAACATGAAATTCAACCGTTTCTAATCCTTTAACTCCACTTGAGAAAATCATCTCAAATGACAAGTTAACATATCTAAATTAAATGAGCAACCCTTCTTTTAAAATATAAACCTAACTGCCTTGTACCTTCACAATTAAGATGTAAACCACCATCTTTATAAGAAAATAATTCCACCTTTGGCTTTCCACATTTCAAAAAAAATCGATACGAATGAATGAATTCTACTTTATAACTCAACCATAAATTCAACAAAGCCATATTAACTTCCTTAATCTTCTGACCCGTTTCCTCAAAATTTACAGGTCGAGGAAGAATACCAGACAAAGCAATAACCATAGAAGGAAATATCAATTTAGCAGTAGAAATCAAATTACAGTAGGCAGACTTAAACTGATCAATAGATAAAACATGAATGTCATTAGTACCACAATGAATAATTAAACAATTATAACCTTGATAAATACTCCCCTTGTTCTTGTTAAGTTGATAAGTAATCTCTCCTATGGAAGCCCCCAGAAAGCAAAAACATCAGCATTTTCAAGTTTCACATATTTAGCAATAGAGTCTGACACTATCAGAAAAGTTCCTGGTTCTGCAAAGAAACAATTTAAATTAGTAACCTAACAAGGAAATACTCTTAGACATCATTTCAACGATAATTTTCAAATGTACCGCGAATCCCGAAACAAAGAAATATATAAGAGCGTCCTGTATCCAGGTAACAAATTAACCAATCAAAATAAAGAATACTCGGAACAATTTTTTCAGAGTAAATGTAAACAGTGATTCACGTGGTAATTGTCCATTTTTATAAAACTCAAAAATAACACCATGAATGGAGTGGGTCCCCCTTTAGGAGAATTTCTGTATCCACCACTCGTAACTTCATTACATCCTGTAAACTGAAAGTTAACCAATCAAATTTTCACCTCTTTTTTGCATGTGTACAATATGCAATATACAATATATACATTGTACTGAAAACTTGATGCACACACCTCATACTGTCTCTTGGTTGGCTTTGTGTTGTTTGTAGAAGCTGTTTATGTACATGTATATATACATGCTAATTATTCTCTTAGCATGTAGGGGCATCAGTGGTTGTGTGTTCTAAGTAGTACTGTATCACTAGCCTGTCAACACTAAGGTTGTGCATTTGACTCTAATCTTAATTGACTAGCGGTATGGGCTTTGCTCATTGTTGAAGACCGTACAGTGACCTATAGTTGTTAATTTCTGTGTCATTTGGTCCCTTGTGGAGAGTTGTCTCATTGGCAATCATACCACATCTTCTTTTTTTATAGGATTGTTAGTTTTCATACGACCGCAAAAAAATTTTGTGGTCGTATATTGGTATGACGTTGGCGTCGTCGTCGTCGTCGTCCGAAGACACATTGGTTTTCACACTCTAACTTTAGTTTAAGTGAATGGATCTTTTTGAAATTTTACCATAAGGTTAAATACCACAAAAGGAAGGTTGGGATTGATTTTGGGGGTTATGGTACCAACAGTTAAGGAATTAGGGGCCAAAAATAAGCATTTTCTAGTTTCCAGACAATAACTGTGGAACGGTGTATGGATCTCTCTGAAATTATACTACAAGTTTCCATACCACAAAGGGATGGTTAGGATTTGCTTTGGGGGGTTATGGCTCAAACCGTTTAGGAATTAGGGGCAAAAAAGGGGGAAAAACAAGGTTGTCCTGGTTAATGGACAAATACTCTAGTACAAAACATAATTTAAAGCAGTGTAAGGGAGATAAATCAAATACATCATTGAAATTATCTCCCTTACACTGCTTTTAAATTATGTATAAAGTAATGGTTAATGAACAATAAAGATAATTTAAAACAGTGTAAGGGAGGTAATCCAAATACAACGTTTTGGTTACTTCCCTTACACTGCTTTTAAATTATGTTTAAAGAAATACATATTTATAAAGGAAGACCAGTAAAAATATCTGCAAATGTTGCATCTTTTTTTTTTACAAAAAAATCCATATGAAAGATTTGACACTATATTTTTAATTCTATTATAAAATAGATTAAGTTAGCACTATGGTAAATTTAAATGGGTAATTATGGTTGCCAACTCCATTGGAAATTTGAATTGAGATTATGACCATATCTTGAGGGAAAGAATTTTTTTGGGGAAAAAAGGGGGGGGGGGATAAAAAGCAATTGTGGGGGGTCAATTTTTTCTCATTTCAGATTTCAGAAATTAAAAAGAATTATTCTTCAAATATTATTTTTTTTTCAAATTTCAAATATTGAAAAATTTCAAGAAGTAATCTTTAATTGCACAGTATGGCGCATTAGATTTGTAAAATCTTTGATCACATTTATTTATTTGTTATGCCGAATCTAACAGTGTATTTAGATTTTTAATTTTGGGTCCAGTTTTCAAATTGGTCTACATTAAGGTCCAAAGGGTCCAAAATTAAACTTTGTTTGATTTTAGCAAAAATTGAATATATGAGGTTCTTTGATATGCTGAATCTAAACAGGTATTTAGATTTTTGATTTTTGGCCCAGTTTTCAAGTTGGTCCAAATTGGGGTCCAAAATTAAACTTTGTTTGATTTCAACAAAAATTGAATATGTGGGGTTCTTTGATATGCTGAATCTAAACATGTGTTTAGATTTTTGATTATGGGCCCAGTTTTCAAGTTGGTCCAAGATAGGGTCCAGTATTTAAACTTTGTTTGATTTCAACAAAAATTGAATATATGGGGTTCTTTGATATGCTGAATCTAAACATGTATTTAGATTTTTGATTATGGGCCCAGTTTTCAATTTGGTCCAAATTGGGGTCCAAAATTAAACTTTGTTTGATTTCAACAAAAATTGAATATATGAGGTTCTTTGATATGCTGAATCTAACCATGTATTTAGATTTTTTATTTGTGGGCCCCGCTATCAAATTGGTTCATATTGAGGTCAAAAGAGTCTAAAATTAAACTTTGTATGATTTCATCAAAAATTGAATTATTGGGGATCTTTGATATGCCAAATCTAACCGTGTTTTTAGATTTTTAATTTGGGTCCCATTTTTAAAAATTGGTCTTCATTGAGGTCCAAAGGGTCCTAAATTAAACTTAGTTTGATTTTAACAAAAATTGAATCCTTAGGGTTCTTTGATATGCTAAATCTAAACATGTGTTTAGATTTTTGATTATGGGCCCAGTTTTCAAGTTGGTCCAAGTTGGGGTCCAAAATTAAACTTTTTTTGATTTCAACAAAAATTGAATATATGGGGTTCTTTGATATGCTGAATCTAACTATGAATTTAGATTTTTTATTTGTGGGCCCTGCTATCAAATTGGTTCATATTGAGGTCAAAAGGGTCCAAAATTAAACTTTGTTTGATTTCATCAAAAATTGAATTATTGGGGTTCTTTGATATTCCAAATCTAACCGTGTATTTAGATTTTTAATTTTAAGTCCCGTTTTTTAAATTGGTCTACATTAAGGTCCAAAGGGTCCAAAATTAAACTTAGTTTGATTTTAGCAAAAATTGAATTATTGGGGTTCTTTGATATGCTGAATCTAAACATGTGTTTAGATTTTTGATTATGGGCCCAGTTTTCAAGTTTGTCCAAGTTGGGGTCCAAAATTAAACTTTGTTTGATTTCAACAAAAATTGAAAATATGGGGTTCTTTGATATGCTGAATCTAACCATGTATTTTGATTTTGGACATTGGACCATAATAGGTAAATTAAAAAATTTCAAGTTCTTAGACAACATTCTTTCTGTGTCAGAAACCTATGCTGTGTCAAATATTTAATAACAATCCAAATTCAGAGCTGTATCAAGCTTGAATGTTGTGTCCATACTTGCCCCAACTGTTCAGGGTTCGACCTCTGCGGTCGTATTAAGCTGCGCCCCAGCGAAGCATTTTATTCTATAAAAGGTTTGTCATTCTCTCCTTGCACTCTAGCTTCCTACGTCAAAAAAGCTGACGGGGGAGAGCCACAAAGTTAAGCCAAAAGTGCTGAAAGTTACACACCAATCAAACAATTTATAAAAGAGCATGCAAATTTAACAAGAATTACCTTATGAAAAAAAAAAGGAAATGTGCTATAAACATGATAAATGCAATCAAGACAATTATCAGTTAGAGACAAAAAGTACTACGATCTTATCAATGAAAGATCACTCACAGCCCTTAGGTTGCATTTCTGTTAATATAGACAATGCAATATTCCATAGGAACTCCTGTTGCAGCTAAAACTGTGACACTTTTTACTATGAAGGTTCGTGAAAAATAATATCCTAGAATGGAAAGTTGATATTGACTACTTTTTTATTCAAAAGTCAAAACATAGGGCTGTGCGGCATATTTTCAACATTTATATGCCCAGAACTTGTTAGAGTTTAAACTTATACTAGAATTCTGTACTACCCTTACCTTTACTTTTTGTTTACTTCAGAATTCATTTTTCACCGCAATAGTATGTTTTTATACTGGTAACTGTCCCAAGTTATGTCTCTCTGAGATGAAACATAGATATCATATCACGGAACCAGTATGTCAACAAATCAAATTATCTATGAATATTATATATCTCCCCAAAAGAGGCATGGTTTGAGAAACAGATGTATTTACAAAGTGCAACCTTTAACCGATAAAAACCTTATAAGCTATAACAGGCATGACAAATTATGATAGAACTGCAGACAGATAAACCAATGGCCTGACTTGATGATCTGATGTACCGTTGATACTCGACTAAAAGTCTTTAAAATCTGAGAATTTAGTCTTGAACCTCGTATAAGTTGGCCGAAATCAGTAATTTTTCTGGTAAACTATTTTATCTTAAAAAAAGAAAACCTTAATTTTACCGCTAAACATGCTTTTAAAATTTATGTTTTGTTTTATTTTAGGTGATGCCTAAAAAAAGGATGAAAGCCCATAGCACAATTATTAAGGAAAATAAAGAAAGGATGAGAAAAATGAGACTAAAAAGACGAGAGAATGAAGAACAGGAAACATTGAAAGTTAGTGTAGACAGTAAGGTTTGTTTTGTTTACAAAAATGAGGGGATGTAATATGTTGATGAGACAACTATCAAACAGACACTAAAGGACATGGATGGTGTCTTTTACATTGCTATATATTATGCCATGTTTATTGTTTATAAAAATAAGAAGATGTGGTACATGTATGATTGCAGATGTTAAATGTATGAAAAATCTAGAGAGATTTATTTCTCTGTAAATTTGAATGGTCGATACATTGTATCTTGAAAACAAGGACGCTGACCCTTGTTCTTTTCCAAAATTTTTAGTTTCCGTTAATTATATACTAACAATTTATAACATTTTTTATGCCCCTTCCGTAGCGGAGGGGGCATAAAGTTTTACCCTTGTCCGTCTGTACGTACATACGTCCCAAAGTTGGTTTCCGTTCTCTAACTTTAGTTTGCCTCAACCAATGTTATGAAACTTATACACAATGCTTATTACCACTAAATACAGATTTTGAATTTTGGTGGCGTCACTTTTACCGTTCTAGAGTTATGCCCTATACAAATGGAAAAAATGCAAAATTTTTCGTTTCCGTTCTCTAACTTAAGTTTGCCTCAACCAAATGTTATAAAACTATACACAATGCTTATTACCACAATATACACAACAAGTTTGAATTTTGGTGGCGTCACTTTTACTGTTCTAGAGTTATGCCCTTTACAAATGGAAAAATTCCTAAATTTTTAATTTTTTTTCTTGAAATATTTATCAAGATATTTTTAAAATTGGAGTTATCATCCTTTGTCCATGATTATAGTTGAATCAACTACAATCAATGCTTCATACAATGCAATGTTTAATTTTGCCTTCCACTGATAAATTAAAGCTATTTTTAACTTTCATTTATAAAGATATCTTAAAGTCTGCTTAGAAAATTGGAGTTATCTTTCTTTGTCCAGAATGGTAGTTGAATCAACTACAACCAATGCTTTATACAATGCAATATTCAATTTTACTTCCTACTGATAAATTAAAGCAATCTTTACCATTCAGTGCTTACAAGCACTTTGATTACTGTTCTAGGGTTCTGCCCTTTAAAAATGAAAATCCGTTCTCTAACTTGAGTTTGTCTCAACTAAATGTAATGAAATGTATATATATATAATGCTTTTTACCACAAAACTCAGTTTAAGTTCAATTTATGGAAGCGTCACTGTAACAGTTCTTGAGTTATGTACTTTGATAGTGTTATATATGCTAGCGGGGGCATCATCTGTGTCCCTATGGACACATTCCCCATTTATTTTAAAATATAAAAAAGAAGATGTGGTATGATTGCCAAATGAGACAACTCTCCACAAGAGACTGAAAGACACCAGTGTTGTACCCAGGATTTTTTGATAGCGCTGTGGTAAGCGCATGATTTTCGACAATTCTCAGTAACTTTGTCACAGCTCGCGGTTCGTTTGTAATGGGTTTGTTATGATGTTTTTATACAATATGCTGCTGATGTTTGCACTTGTAATGATGTCCTGATGGAAGTTACCCAGTTGTTTTTAAATGTTATTGTTTTAAAATAGATGAAGAATCATTTTTATCTGTGTACAAAAACCCAAGGAAAAGTCTTTTTCCATGAAGGGTCAACACTAGACTGGTGATTTGAAGATTTCTTAACAGGTGATGCTGTAGAATATGTAGGACCGCAGGCACTTGTTTTCTATCCATGACAAGATCTACTATCCCTATACAGTAGATCTTGCCATGGATAGAAAACAAGTGCCTGTAGGACCCACTATCACGTCATTGTCAGTTTCTGTGTTGTGTTTTGTAATCCACTGGAGCAGTGTACTATTAACCTTACAATGTTTGACAGGAGTTGACATTTGTGAACATTATGATTTCTCTTCTACTAAACTTATGATTTCTCATTTTTCTGATCACTATTTACATTCTTATGGCTTCACCCATGCTGGACATCGAGAAAAGTGAATTTCTCGACTAGTATTGGCTTGGGGTTTGTTTTTCTAATCATAGTCTCCTAATTGTTTTCAAATGGTAAAATCCATTACTGTAGTATTGCTGATTAAACAATTCTTAGTTCGATTAGGTGATAATTAATACTTCAAAGACTTGCACATTGAATATCGTTGTTTAAAATTTAAACAGAGTTCGTAAAACAAGTTTGTGAGTGTTGTCGGTTAATACGGTCACTTTACTTCATCTTATTCCATTCATATTTGCTTCTTTATATTCTTTTTTATTCAAAAAATGGATGATACTGTTGATTTCTTCGTTTATTTTGATTTTCAAAGACGCCATTTTGTAAAATTTATTAAACTGGTCCCGCGAAGTTACTTTATACAACGCAAATAACACATTCAGAAATAGTAAACCAGACGATCACGTGATCGAAGTAAAAGATGAGTGGGAAATTTGAAAAAAAAAAAATCAAAAAAAATATAGTGACGCGATTGATTTAGATAGCACTGCGCTCAGTTCAATAGAACAGCGGAAAATTGTGATAGTGCTGAATACTGCAGCGCTAAAACGGCTCACAGTTACTGACAGCTAGTTCAAAGCCACTAACAACTAATAAAAAAATCATGCATCTTAGACTAAATTATCAATCGGTATACATCCAACATCCAATGGATTTAGTGTAAAGACGTCATTAACAGTCAGAGAAAAACATGACCTTATGCAATGCCAAGATACAGGTATCGACAGATTGTAGATCCATGAATGTGTATATGTATATAACAATAATATTTAGTTTGCTTTTAATTTACTGATAACAAAATCAATATTAATACCAATAAGATTTAATTACAGTGTTGAATTGGTAACCTTTTAGAATAAGTTTATTTAAAGGATCTATAAGTTTACCAGGATCATAAAAAAAAGCTTGTTAATTTGAAACAGAGTAGTGAACTTCCATAATATATGATTCCTGTACACATGAAAAAATATGGCAAATCATTTTGTGTGACCCATGGCAACATATAAACCAAAAAATAAAAAAAAAAACGCTGTAAATTCAGAAACTATTTTATTAATGTGAATATTGTGAATGAGTGAGTATCGTAATAATAAGAATCTACACTTTGATATCTGACGCATATATCAGTATGTAAATTTTCCTGGAATCCCAATAATTAATCTCGCATTTTTGTCCACTTTTCAAAAACCACAATGATAAATGAATTTCTGAATTTACAGTACACTTGAATGAAGAGTACATATATTACAGTTAAAAAATGAAGAGGATCCAGCCATTTTTAAAAGGGGGTTCCCAACCCAGGATAAAGGGGGGATTCAAACTATATGTCCCCATTCAAATGCATTGATCGTCAAGAAAAAAGGGGGTGTTACAACACCCAGAGCCCCCCTCTGGATTGCCACTGGGTTTATATATGTCATGCATTTTACTATTTGTTGCAGATTACAAACTCCTCCACTGGACCAGAGAGTGGTGCTCCAATGAAAAGGAGAAAAGGAACAGAGAAATATAATATGGCCACTTCAACAGTACCTCCTGAAAAGAAGATGAAATTGGAACAAACATTAAAATGTGGAAACAAGCAGGATAAAGTTGTAAATGTAATTGTTTGTTAACTTAACATGAACTTTGCAAATAAAATTGAGAATGGAAATGGGGAATGTGTCCATGAGACAACAACCCTACCAAAGAGCAGACAACAGCCGAAGGCCACAAATGGGTCTTCAATGCAGCAAGAAACTCCTGCACTCTATATATCTTTATTCCCATAAAGTTAAGCCAATGCATTATATTGATACAGAGATAACAAAAACAAACAATAAATATTTACAATATGTACAAATCAAGTGAGAGAGGTTACAAGCCAGGAGTACAAACACAAGTATTTATATTTTTTTATAAAAGAGCAAAGCTTTTTCAGAACTGGTTGTTCTAGTCACACTCCAACCACTTGATTTCCATGCAGTTTATACTGTGAAATCATTAATTTTCATGGATGCCAATTTTTGTGGATTGAAGAACAATTGTATTTTCTTAGATACTGATTTTTGGTTTTGCCAAAGTGTGACTATACAAGCATATAGAATATTATTATTTTATTGAACATTTGAATTCTTGGTTTACCTTTACTGGTCCACGACTTCCACAAAAATTGATATCCAAAGATTATTAATAAATCCACAGTATTTTAATCTTTTTGCCTTAAATTAATTTTACATTTTTTGCAAGAAACACATCTCTAATTAGAAAACCAAGCAAGTGTTTATCTTTTTTTAAATCATCAGGCTTTTATATATTTATGAGAAATACATTTGTCTTTTAAATTTTAGATATTTGCCTTCAAATAAATACCATACAATAATGTGTAGGGTTTTCATCTCTTCATTTCGTATCAACCAGGGACCAAATGTCAGGGATGAAAGACGGTATTTACCAATATAGCCTTTAACAATGAGCACAATCCATACTGTTAAGAAAGTTATATATATATAAGGCCTTTGGAGATCCCAATTTTCTGCCCTTCACCATGTTCATCCCCATCAACTCATTATGCACAACCAAGATATTAGATTTATTGGCAAATGTTTTCATTCTGAATATAAAACCATTGAAATATTTGCCACTGGACATAAAGCAAACAGCAATCAAATTATCAATTAATCCTTTTTCATTTTTTGTGCAACAGAAAAATACGGAAAGTGCTGATGAAATCTCAACACTGTCTGCTGTCAACATAACTGTTACTAGAAGTATGTTACATTCTGATATTGGTACTGATGTCAGTATGGAAAAGGGTAACAGTTTATTATCCACCAGCACCAAACTTACTGACAAGACCAAGAATATGAGAAGTTTATTGCCCAAGAATATAAGTACAGATAAAAAGACCCAGAATGCTAGAAGTTTATTACCTTTTAATATCACGGATAAAAAGACACAGAATGCAAGAAGTTTATTACCTTTGAATATCACCACGAATAAAAAGACTCATAATCTTAGAAGTTTGCTAACCTTTCAAATCAGTACAGATAAAAAGACCCAGAATGCTAGAAGTTTATTACCTTTTAATATCAAGGATAAAAACACACAAAATGCGAGAAGTTTATTACCCCCTAATACAAGTACTGGTAATAAGACAGAGAATGTGAACTGTTTATCACCTTTGAATGCAGATCATTCTAAATCTTTATCATCATTTAAAGCTGGTCCGGTTACCGAGAGTCAAAGTGCTAGAAGTTTATTATCGTTGAATGTTGGCCAGGTTATACTTACCGAGAGTCAAAGTTCAAAAAGTTTATTATCGTTGAATGCTGGCCAGGTTACCAAGAGTCAAAATTCTAGAAGTTTATTATCGTTGAAAGCTGGCCAGGTCACAGAGAGTCAAAGTTCTAAATGTTTATTACCGTTGAATGCTGGTCCTGTTAACGAGAGTCAAAGTGCTAGAAGTTTATTATCGTTGAATGCTGGTCCTGTTAACGAGAGTCAAAGTGCTAGAAGTTTATTATCGTTGAATGCTGGTCCTGTTAACGAGAATCAAAATGCTAGAAGTTTATTATCGTTGAATGCTGGTCCTGTTAACGAGAGTCAAAGTGCTAGAAGTTTATTATCTTTGAATGCTGGTCCTGTTAACGAAAATCAAAATGCTAGAAGTTTATTATCGTTGAATGCTGGTCCTGTTAACGAGAGTCAAAGTGCTAGAAGTTTATTATCTTTGAATGCTGGTCCTGTTAACAAGAATCAAAATACTAGAAGTTTATTATCGTTGAATGCTGGTCCTGTTACAGAGAGTCAAAGTGCTAAAAGTTTATTATCTTTGGATACCAGTCCGGTTACCAAGAATCAAAATGCTAGAAGTTTATTACTTCTGAATATTAGAACTGCTTGTGATACAAAGAATGCTAGAAGCTTACTACATAATGTACAATTACCTTTGAATGCTGGTATTGTTATCAAGACGCAGAATCAGAAAATATTCCAGAGTAGTTTATTAGAAAAAAACACACAAAAGGGGCACTCTCAGAATAGTATAAGTTCTATCAAGGATTGTCAAAAGAAAGGTTCTACAGAGGGGCCTTCTCAGACTGTTCAGAATGTTTTGGATACAGGGAATGTCCAAGAGAACATTTTTTCTGTCTGCATTAACAGGACAAAAGGAAGTCCAAATGTTAAAATCATACAGCCAGAGATTGGAAAGGTAAGAAAGCAAAAAATAATCTGAGGTATGAAAGATACTTTCATACTTTAAAAGACTACCATAAATACTTTCATATAATACTGAAAAGCACTGGTATTCATTCATTAAGGGATTATAAAATATGGAGAATACGCTGTCTGTTGAGCTCAAATGTGAACCAGCCTAAAGTTGAAAAAGAATAAATCACTCATGAAAGAATTTTTCCCAGTTTGTAAATAAATGCATAAGCGTGATATTGTGACAATATGGGCCTTGTCTTTAAACTTAAGTTTTTGGTTTGGGAACTAGCACATGAATTAAAACACATCTTACATTAACGACATTTAATAACGGAGAGCAAATAAACAAAAAGGTGTTTCAGGACATCACTTGTACATACCTGTCAACCTATGAAAATGAAAATTCAGGTCATAACGCGTACAAACTTTTTTTCTAGCTAAATTTAAGTATTTAGGAGACATTTTATTATAATCTTGAAATCACAATAATTAGTCCTCTACCTACGAAGTCGAAGGGGACTTAAGGTTTGTACTCTGTCCGTCTGTCTGTCCGTCTGTCCATCCGTCAGTCTGGCAAATCAGTTTTCCAGACTATTTTTCTTCATGCTTGAAGATATTGATTTGATATTTGGTGTATTGTTTTATCATGACAAGTTACAGGTCAAGTTTGATTTTCACGATTTTAGCTTTTCTTGTTCAGTTAAAGCCCTTTCCCTAGAATTAAATTTTTGATGAACTACTTATTAATTACTAGATTTCTGTTCAAAGGGAAATAACTCATTTTTTAACTTTCCCTAGAATTTGATTTTTGATGAAATACTTATTATTTACTAGATTTCTGTTCAAAGGGAAATAACTATTTTTTTAAAAGATTTGTAAAAGACATTGTATTAACATGATTAAGATAAATAACATTTTGGATTTTTTTTTCTTTGTAAATTGTTTGAAGAATTTAGTGGTAGGTTTGTTTGTTATTTTATGTAGTTTACACCATGACAAGTTATAGATCAAGTTAGAATTTCGTTCCATTACAATTAATTTTTAACCGGTAGGGGACTATGTATTGCCATGCAATACTCACAGAATGCTTGTTAATCTAAAATTTTGATTGGTCGTCTAAAATCGCAATAATAAATGCTTGCAATAATTTCTGTATTAACAATAACTTAATCCTTGAAGGAGGTGAATAAAAAGAATAGACTTGAAAACCTACTGAAACAGGGAAAGCTGTGTACACATCGTCTCCAGACTCAAGCGAAGAAGGAAAATCTACAGTCTACTACACAGAAGAGATCTGTTACAAAACCTTTCAAGGAGAGAAAGTCAATGGGTTATCATAGAAGAGGGTAATTATAGTAAAGAAGATGTGGTATGATTGCCAATGAGAACCCTCTTTACAAGTGACCAAATGACACAGAAAATTAACAACTATAGGTCGCGGTACGGCCTACAAATATGAGCAAAGCCCATACCGTAATGTATGCTGAAGGGTATTATGTGTGTTTTATGTGAGATATATATAGGCTATGTGTCACTGAAAAAATACTTAGTGTGCAAAAAAATAACAAAAAGACATCCAGATGAGAACATATGGTCTTTAAACATGTTAAACATGCAAGGTGATTTTTTCAAAGTCACTTTATGTCGTGAAATTCATTTTTTGGTAGCATGTGGGTAAATTGACTTTTACATATCTCTCTTAAAATATTCCATTCCAACTTACAACTGTGGATTCATTTATTTTCGTAGGTACCAAACTTTGTGGATCGAGGCATAATGTTCGTTTTTTGGATGTTTGATGTCATAGTTTTAACAATGTCTTTAATGTCATAGCATAGTTTTAACAATGTCTTTGATGTCATAGTTTTAACAATGTCTTTGATGTCATAGTTTTAACAATGTCTTTGATGTCATAGATTTAACAATGTCTTTGATGTCATAGTTTTAACAATGTCTTTGATGTCATAGTTTTAACAATGTCTGCATATCACACTATAGAGAATTTGTACTTTGTTGAACAAGTTAATCTGTGGTTCATATATACCAACAAAATCCATGAACATTTGTACCCTTGAATGATTATGAATCCACAGTATATCAAATGGGTATTACTCTGAATAACATTGTTCAAGGGTGTTGGGTGATCTATTATATAATATTTTGGACACCCCCCCTTTTTTCCTCTTAGTCCTGGTAGACTGGGGTCTCAGTGGCAATCATACCATGTCTCATTAGTTTTATATAAAATGCAAATAGTAGTCATACACTTACTTTGATACTTTGCTTTGCTTCTATTAACAGATGTAGATTGAGAGAAAAAGATAAAGATAAAAGCATTTTAGGAGAAAGTGAAACAGAGACTGGACTTGATAAACCAGCATCTTGTAAGTTAAATGTAACGGTTCTTATAGGTTCTTTACAATTTGACCTTTTGGGAGAAGGTCAGCATTTTAGTTTTGATAATTGAAAAATTTAAGAGATTTTCTCTGTGATGAGAATACTATATTTTGCTGTGTATAGTATGCAGTTTTATGTATTATGCACCCCTATTCATCCCTCCAAAATCGTGAAAAAAAGGTCTAGTTAAAAAAATAAATGAATATAAATTTGTGCTGTCTAACACTATTTTGTGAATTCGAAGTGTTGCTAAACAGTAGAGTTTTATTAACAAATTGTTAGAAAGATATTATTTGATTTGATATTTTTCAGTGTTCAGGTCAAGAGAGATCACGGACTACCAGGTACAAGATCTAAGCTGGTTGCTATCACTATTTACACATGGGATTAATGGTATTTTGAATGAAGAAATGGTAATTATATGTTTTACTATTATTTATCTTCTTCTTTATTATAGCAGTTCTGTGAGGCCAAAATAAATAAATAGTGTGTTTCCGGTTTCCCGCCCCTACCTCCGTTTCTGATGCCAACCCTAAACATTTTATTGACAAAAATTTTTTAAAAATGCTAAAAATCCGGATTTTTCGATCTGTCCGGATCCAATTATTGGTATAGAAAACAACAGATCTTCAAAACGTTTGATAGCAATGACCAATATGGATAAGTAAAGCGTTTCAAGGACCAAGATTTTAAATAAACAAGCATGGCATTTCGACAACCGTGCAGCGTATTAGCTGTCAAATATGCGAAATGTGATCACATGGACGCAAAATATAATGACATCGTTTCCGGATAATTACAATATGATGAATCTTTTTGAAGAACACGATGATGGACCTATAGACAAAAAAAAATACGAAGTTGACGCATATTGCTCAACTTCTTTGCACAGGTACAAGACGAGATTTTTTAAATATTTGTATATATAGTGAATATGTATTCAGTATATATATACACATATCATGCATATATTAACAAAACCTCATTTTGTACCTGTGCTTCTTTGGACCAAACGTCAGAATCGTTTCAGGTTTGACAGACTGTATCTCATTCTGTCGGTTAATCAACAAATATTACTAATAATTTTAGAGTAAAATGAGTTTAATTTACTGCTAAAATCAATCCAGCTTTTGTTGTAAAAAATGCTCTTACGAATGTTGTAAAAAAGTGTTCTCAGGATGCAACATAAACGGCTGTTAATTCTTTTGAGCTTTTGACAGTTTGAGTTAAAGAATGACGGCAAGGGGGCAGACAATGTGTACCGAGAAATAGAAAGCTTTTCCCAGTAGGCAGACATGGGGTATGATTCATGTTCATTTATAAATGAATCTGCCCCGGTACCATGTCTACTTTTATTCTTTTATATTTTCTCTGGCTGGTCCCACAACAGTTTATACTAGAGAAGGAAAAAAATTCATGTCATATCTACAATTGTTTTTGCCATAGATTTAATAAGACAAAGATTTCGCAATCTCGCTCTTCTCAAAGCCTAGAATTTTAATATTGTCAGAACCGCCCACTCTTCAAGATTACATTCTGTCAAACATCAAAACACATCTATATATTAAATGAAGAGGGTGCAAGAGTATTACCCCTCGAAAAATCATAATAAGCCGCTACTTAATTAGCATCGATTTGCAGTGTTTTTACTACTAAAAGAAAGGGAGTAGTAATCTGTTCCAACATGTATACCCTGTGTGTCATTTACATTGTTAGGTTCAAAGAGGCCAAACATAACAATACCATGATGAATTTTTCACTGCCATTTTTGCTTTAAGATAATTAATCTGCAAGAACTTATTCCTATTACAACCCATGAAATGCATAAAATTTGCATTAAAGTTTATTTTCATATTTCTTACACAGAACTAAAACAGAAAATTAAAAAGCTGTAGTTTTAAGTACTATTCTAAATATCGAAGAAGCAGACACATCAAACGATTTCATTTGGTACCTTTTTCTGATGTCATCAATAGAGAAAAATAAAAAGTTTTCATAAAATGAAATGTTTTACCTACCTACCCTACCTAATTTTTTTTCGGGGTGAAATAGGAAACACACTATTTATTTATTTTGGCCTGATGAACAAATTATGCCTACAATCCAGAAAAAATGAAAGAGTGTGTATAGATTTTACTAAAAATTTTATAATTCCAAAATAAATAAATATTTCTGTTCTTGAATTTATAAAAAATTACATACCTTCATTTAATTTTAAGGGGCTTCTGAAAATATTTTATTCAGAAAAACAGGAATTATTTTAATGATTTTGATTCCTAAGTGGAGTTAACTGTGATAATTTATTCACATGCTGCCAAAATTGTTTTAGAAATAAAAATTGAAATTCCAGATTTTCCTTGGAATATGTTTTTATGCCCCATTTATAGGCATTATGTTTTCTGGTCTGTGCGTCTGTTTGTTCGTTCTTTCGTCCATCTGTTCGTTCGTCCGTCCGTCTGTCTCCCGCTTCAGGTTAAAGTTTTTGGTCGAGGTAGTTTTTGATGATGTTGAAGTCCAATCAACTTGAAACTTAGTACACATGTGCCCTATGATATGATCTTTCTTATTTTAATGCCAAATTAAAGTTTTTACCCCATTTTCATGGTCCACTGAACATAGAAAATGATAGTGCAGATGGGGCATCCTTGTACTATGGACACATTCTTGTTTTACAGGCCATAATCTTGCCGACAAAATGACGATTTAAGTCGCCAAAGAATTTTGAAAATCGCTAAATCTCGCCGGCCGACTGACTTCATAGCGAAGTCAAATTGCTATCAAAATCGGTAAAAGGGAGACAACTTGTGATTGACAAGTCTCACAGGTAAAAAAAAATGGCGGCTGACAAGGAAAATTGAGATTTTCAAAACGACCCAGGACTAAAACTGTCAACGATCAAATTAAATAAATACAACGGCGACTTTGAACATCCTCGGATATAACTTTCAAAACTGTTCAAACGGAAAACTGACCGTCTGTTTAAGTTATCATTTTACTATGATTTTAATCTGAGGATATTGCGTAATCACTCAGCTGATTTGTTTTATTTTTACAACTTACACGAGTCGATCAATTTTACTATTCGGTAGGTGAAAGGTGGGAATTAGCGGTAGATTTATTATATTGATTGAATAAAAATTGAAATATAAAAGGTAGAAAGACTGCTGATGGATAATGTGATTGCAAACGAACGACACTCGACCAGGTTGTGATCAGCAGTGGATTGTTTCTCACGACCATTTCGTTGATATCTGGGACTATTATACTAACGGGACTACAGCATAATAGTCCCAGTTGATAGGGATGATATTTTTAAAAAATGATAGAAATTAGCTCTTTGTCGGATAATTAATATGCGATTGAAAAATATTTTCATTTATAGACTTAAAATTTTAAACGATAATCTCAATTTACAACTAACATAATGTCCTGGACATTCAATAATGTTTTACAAAGTAATGACAAGTGGTGATATAAATCAACAAATTTTATTTAAAATTGAGAATGGAAATGGGGAATGTGTCAAAGAGACAACAACCCGACCATAGGACAGATATTGAAATACTACTTTTTGATAAATATTCCTAAAGTAATGAACTAGAGAAGTTCTCGCTCGGACACACACTCCATAATCTAGTATATAATAAGAGCATAAACCTGAAGCACGGGGAGGCACTCTACTGTCTCCACACGGCACTAAAGACAAACTCTGTAAAAAATAAAATTGAGAATGGAAATGGGGAATGTGTCAAAGAGACAACAACCCGACCATAGAACAGATATTGAAATACTACTTTTTGATAAATATTCCTAAAGTAATGAACTAGAGAAGTTCTCGCTCGGACACACACTCCATAATCTAGTATATTATAAGAGCATAAATTAGAACACAATGGTTTCAATAAATAAATAACAACTATATATTGTCTAAACCTTTTTATTAAGAACTTTCTATATATACATTGTGTACAATAACATATGAAAAAACTGCAAGTATATCTTTTATTGAATATAAAACAATTTCCTTAGTGATAAGCATGAAAACACGATGCAACCGAAACGGTAATGGAATCTCACTTCTCCAAGAAATTGACCACTTCTCCCTTCTCTCTCTTGGAAGGAGAAGTCACTTCTCCCTCTTCAAAATCCTAGATTAGGCCCTAGTTTTAAAAGATGAAAAGATGATGTCCTTGCATTACTTTGAAAACATTAACTGTTTTAATGTTTTCTAAACAAACAAAACCATAGGAAATCACATATTTTTTTTTTACCAAATTACACATTGTAATCTTGATTTTACTTCTTATAGTTGCTCTTACTTGACAGTACCAGAATGTCCCATCACAGAGTAGGTAACCTGTCTAAATTCACTAAAAATAGGTAATATGAAAAATGTCTATTAAATTGAAAAAGACCAGAAGATGATAAAAACTAAATCAAAGATGGCTGATATTACCATCAAACATCCTTAACATATAATATATATATTTCAAAAAGAAGATGTGATATGGTAGTCACTGAGACAACTCGCCACAAGAGACCAAATGACACAGAAATTAACAACTACTGTAAACCAACTTATTTTCACGAATACTGTATTTAGGGTTTAGCCCTTTCTAGTCCCAATTATCGGTGATTTAATTTTACGATTTTCACATGTACTTCATGTAATTAGACAAGGAAATATACCAAGTTTTAAATTTCGTGAAGATTTACATTTGCGTTATTTTTCTTTTCACGAAAGTCACGAAAATAAATCGCTCTAGAAAATTAGTTGGTTTACAGTATAGGTCACAGTACGGCCTTCCAACAAGGAACAAAGCCCATATTCCGTAGTCAGCTAAAACAGACACTGTTTTGTATATTTCAGGGTCTAAGTAAAACAGTACAAGCTATAGCTTTGTTAGGATATATGAAGGACTATCAACAGATATCTGGACCTCATCTGTTTATTGTACCTCTGTCTCATATAGACCACTGGCTGGCAGAATTCAAACGCTGGAGTCCAGAATCCAGACTTGTTGTGATAAAAGGCACTGTTGAACAAAGAGTATGTATTATAATGTCTTAAATAATTTCAAATATGTACTTCAATTGAACAGTAAGTAAAATTTTCAAGTGGAAAATTAAAGATTTATCTAGCCAATTTAAGATGATTTTTCCTGTTTTTGAGAAATTAATAAAGTTGATAAATTGACCAAAGTCATATTTTAAAAGATTGATTAGTTTTTGTTTAACTTTGAACATCAAGTTTTCAACCATATTCCTGACTTGAACACAAAAGTGACTGAAAACAATCTATGTATTAGAGTTTGTATCATGTTTAAAAATCAAGAAAATAAACACTAACAAAAACATTAACAAAAATAAACCCACAAACAAAAAAATTAACACACAAACAGAAATGAAAACACATACACAAAATAAACACATAAAAATAAAACACATAGAAAGAAACACACAAACCAAAAGCACTCAAACCCAAAATTAATACAACCATTAATAAACACAAATCAAATGTAAATACACAAACAAAAGAATAAACACAATAAAAAAAATAAACACACAAACAAAAATATAAATACACAAACACAAAATAACCACACAAACAAAAATGAAATACACAAACCAAAAAATTTCACAAACAAAAATAGTCATAAAACCAAAAGTAAAAAACACAGACAGAAAAAACCACACAAACAAAAATAAACATACAAATAAAAAATAAAAACACAAAAAGAGAAATAAACAAATAAACCAAAATTTCACTCAAAAACAGAAATAAACACACAAACCAAAAATAAACTAAAAAACAGGAAAACAAAAATAAACAGCAGACAACACATGTATACAAATAAGGATATGAAGTATGAATGTCCATTTAAGATTTGTTGTGTTTTTAGTGTTATGATATGTTTATTTTTGTTGTTGTTATTAACAGAGACCAGAAATCAAAGACATATTGAAGGACGATGGCTGGGATGTTTGCATTACTAGTTATGAAACCTGTTTTCAAAAACCTAACGCCTTCAAAGAAATTAATTGGAGATATTTAGTTGTAGATGAAGTCCAGACCATCATTAAAGAAAAGACACAAGTAAGGGCTTTTCACAGTAGGGCTTTTTTAGATTTATTTTGCTTCTCACAATCAAATTGATGCTGTATAAATTTTAAATTCACAATTTGAAGACACAAAATTGTATTAAGCAGCTTGAACACCACACAAAATTGTGTGTGAATTAAAGTTATTATTCACAATTTTTCATTGTGTTTAATTAAATCATATTCCTTTAGAAAAAAAAAGCAAATTTTTTAGCATCGAAAAAATTGAGACAGAAATTATTTTTTCAAAGAAATCCTCTCATATTAGCATGATTAGATTTAAATGCATTAATGGTATGCAACATTTCTTTAAATGGCAATGTAAAATCTTACATTTTTGTTCATTATTAAAACATTGCAATATCAATGTATAAATGCATACACAAATTTCTGAATTTACAGTAAATGTTGGTATTAATAACAGATAAGAGAATGACTATTAAATTTTTCTATTTCAGATTTCAGAGATTATCCAGAGTATGAAGACATCAAATAAACTGTTACTGACTGGAATCCAGCCACAGAATGACTTACAGGAGTTATTGGCCCTGCAGAACTTCCTGTTGCCTGATTCCACAAATGTAATATTTTTGTATTTATTCTTAATTATTTTATCACATTACTCTGTATTGCCATACAAGATTAATTTTTATAAATGGTGATTGAATTAATAATAACTAAAAGTTTTATAAACACCTATATTTTTCTTCTTTAATTTGAAAAATAAATAAACTGTTTACAGAAATTAATTTTCAAACACCACTTTTCTTTCTTGGCAAGTGCATTAATTGTGTTATTTCTATGGGAGCTAAAAAGTATTCATTATTAACGTTTGAATTTAGCCAAATTTAATTTTACTGAATGACTTTTTGTTTGTTATACTTTTAATGAAAAAACACTTTTTGAGGCTGTGTAAATTAATCTTGTATTGCTCAGTCTTTAGTTTTCTTTGTTGTGTTTTGTGAACTGTTGTTCGTCTTGGTCTTTTTCTTTTTTAATTTAGCCATGGCGTCGTCAATTTATTTTCGACTTATGAGTTTGAATGTTCCTTTGGTATCTTTCATCTATCTTTTAAGAAATTTTTGCATGAGACACAATTGCGAGATTATTTAATGTGATTTCAGGAAATGCCAAATACAAATAATGCTATTACTTAAATGAAATTGTAAACGTGAGTTTTTTATTTTTGTCAATTTGCATGTTTTTCTCCAAATTCTGAATTCACAGTACCATACAGTATCATGCAAATTATACAGTTGGATTTTTTTTATTTTACAGAATACCATCTTCAGATCAGCTAATCAATTATGTGACAAAGAACTTGTGAATTGTTTACATAACGTATGTATTTTTAATTATTTTTTGTCATTAATGATATTGCAAAAAAAAAATTAAAAGAATTTCTTATTATACCCCCACTTTAAAAAAGTGGGGGTATACTGTTTTACCTCTGTCTGTCCATCCGTCAGTCCATCCATCCATCGTCAGTCCGTCCATCCCATGAATATTTTCGTCGCATCTTTCTCAGGAACTACATTCCAAAGATTTCTGAAATTTGGTTTCAGGGTTGATATAAGTCAGCTATACTGTGTGATGCGTTTTCAGATTCACCACTAAACAACTTCCTGTTTACCGAACACTTGTATTATTTACATATGATAGCCAAGTTGAAAATTTTCGTCACATTTTTCTCAGGAATTACAATACAAGAATTTCTGAAATTTGGTTTCAGGGTTTGTATAAGTCATCTATACCATGTGATGCGTTTTCAGATTCATCACTCAACAACTTCCTGTTTACCGAAATATTTGGGCGGGGGTATCATCAGTGAGCAGTAGCTCGCAGTTTCACTTGTTATAGTTTGTTTCACATGTCTTTTTCAACCACAAAATAACAGAGTTCAACTGCAATTATTAAAGGATTATAATTACTTGGTGTACATTTATGATAAAGTGTAAAAAGTTGAGTTTATTTCCTGTACCTCATACTTAAAGGATAAATATCTTTGTGAACTGTCAACAGAGCCTAAAATAAATTTCAATGAAAAATATCTCAACAATCTTATTTATTTAAAAAAAAAAGGTCTTGGTAGCAGAGTGGTCTAAGTAGTATCACTAGCCTATCAATACTGAGGTTGAGAGTTCAAATAGGCATGTGGTAGGTGCACTTGACTCCAATGAAGTTTATTTGATTAGGATTGTCAGTTTTCTTACTGTAGGTTGGTGGTTTACACCAGGCACTCCAGCTTCCTCCTCTAATAAAAACTGACCGCCGAGAAACAGCACAATAGTGCTGAAAGTGGCATTAAACATCAATCGATCAATCATCTTTAAAAATTAAATATTTTGTCTTTTATTTGAATATCTAGATTCTACAACCATTCCTGCTGAAAAGAATTAAAACAGACTTAGAAAAGGGATTATTACCAACCAAAGAAATCTACATATATGTTGGACTTTATACCTTACAAAGAGATTGGTAAATATTAACATTCCCTTAAAGAATTCAATTCAAGTTTCTTTTTTATTGTATTAGTGATTTCTATTGTTGTATGACATCAGATGAGTGAAATAACTGAGTTTATGTCACATGTGAAATCATCATCAGTTTTCATTTCACTGTGAAATAATTCATAGCAATCAATGTAATAATTATTCATAACAGTTGCAAAAAAAGTAAGAAAAGGCTAGCAGTGCTATATGAATATAAGTGAAGGACAAATAACACACTTTTTATAAAAAAAGTTGCACTGAAAATAGATTGAAAAATGAACACCATAAAAACTAGGTATGAACTGCTGAACTCTATTATCATGATTATTACATGTACTGCCTTGTATTTAGAGTTATAAAGATAAGGGACATAACTCTTTAAGAATCCTTTTGAATAAGCCATTTTTATAAATGTATTCTAAGCTTCTTAATAGCACTGATGTTCTCTTGAACACTTAAAATTATTGAAGAACTAACTACTTTAAATACTCTATTTTAAATCATTATGTGTCATAACATAGATAAACCTTTTTTATTTCATAAAGGGTTCTTAATTAAGTTTTGTACTGTTGAATATTTTATTATTCATGGGATACCAATTTTCAAGGATTTCATGGGTATAGGCCTAGGTGAACCACAAATTTATATGTTCAATGATTTATAATTTTTCTATAGCCTAGGCTTGTATGTCTAAACCATGAAATCAAATATCCATATAAAAATACAATCCAGGAAAATAAACAAATCTACATTATATGTATTTTATGAATGTAGGCAAACAAGACAAGCAGAAGAACCAAAGGAAAAACTTGATGATAACATAAATAGTGAGGTAAGTGTGTCTAAAAGAAATGCACTACGAAATAACTTTGATCTTGCGCTTACTTGGAAATTTGGGGAATGGCCTAAGAAATATGGTCGTCTAAGCCTTTAGGTCTATTTGGAAAATCCCAAAAAGAAAAAAAAGGTATTCAACATTGTGGAATTGTGAAGTTGTTGTGTATTTGCTGGAAACTTTGACGATGTACTTTGTTGAATTCAAAATCAATAAAAAGAATAATTTCAATAAAGGAATACCGGAAGTCCTCTTGTCTTTGAAGATAAAATAAATCAAAAATATTCAAGGGTAAACTGCTTAATTTGAATTGATCAGTGTTAAACCACTTTTAACAGTGCCATGAAAAAAGATGTCCATTGTAATGATTCTTTTTTTACAGAAAAAATTAGAAATCCTTAAACATGTCTCCTCACCATATCAGTCAAAATTGGAAATCATTAAACCATGTAAAGTAATGAATACCAGTGTTGAACTAAAAAGTTTATTAAAAGACAATACTAGTATTGGAAACAGGACACAGAGCAGGAAAACTTTACTAAGTATTTTACCAGCCAACAAATCTACACAGGGATCTTCTCAAAATAATTCTAAAAAGACTTATCCCCTGAATGGTTTACAGAAGAAAAGATCTGAAGAGGGGTCTTCTCAGAGTGTTCAGATTCCCTTCGAAAGCAGAAACATTCAAGGAGGAATTTTTTCTGTATGTGTTGAAAGTTCAAAAGGCAGTCCAAATATTCAAATTATCCAATCAGGGGTTGAAGAGGTAAGTCTGGTATATACATTGAAAAAATAATAAGGATTTTAAGGCAGTGGATAACACTGAAGAGAGATAACTCTTTATTAGTCAGTAAAATGTTTTAACAGCATTGTGAAATCTAAGCATCTTGTAAACTCAGACTAAAACTTTCTAGCAGACAGCATCTTCTCTTTTGCTAATTCATTTTTGAAGAAATAATTATTTTATCAATATTGATATAATTTTTTAAGTGGAAATAGCATGTTTATCTACAGAAAAATATCTAAAAATTAAGAGATACATATATTACTTGATGAAATTGTAGATTTTTTTTTACTTCAAATATAATGGGGCTATTCCAGAAAACACTATGTTCCCATGGAACAGCATATTATATTTTTTCATGGGTGGTGAAATACATATACATGTTGGTCACAGGTACATGATTTTAGGCATTTATGATATATAGGTGTCTTGAGTTCATGGGTGGTTCTGTAACCGCTTTGAAAAATATTATTACAACAGGTACCGGTACTTACATTTTATTCATATGTTCCTTCATTTTTTAATTCTCTTAGTTCATTAAATGAAGACAGTTAGCTTACCTGAATATCAACAATATAAGAAGTTTAGACTCCTTGCTGATGACAGCATTGTTTAAAGAGAAATAAAAAAAAAACAGAAAAAACTGTATTATATTACAACTTGATGTAGATTCTGATACCAGATTGGAGTCAGATTGACTTATGACAAGGATGGTAATTCACCAAAATAAATGTTCCAATCTTACAATCTCACATAAAATAAACAAACTTGCAGGCATAATTACATCCTTCATGATCATATTCTCTCTAGTTTCCAGTTATTCATGATTAAACAAAAACATGTAGATCAAAATTATTAATAAAAAATATAAACACTTTATTTGATATTAATAAAATTCTTATTTGTATAAATTTCATAGTTCAATTTCTCATACACAACTCCATGTGTTCTTCAGTATTGAAAATTATTTAACCACAATATAGAAGAAGCTCCCTTTCAGTTAATAATATTACTGAATATATTATATATATGTCACTGATAATTTCATGTACTCTATATTTTACAGAAATTAGGAGAAAATAAGGTCAACTTTGATTTGCAATCACGTCCAGATGAAAATTGTATCAGACATAAGTTACGAAGACATAAAAAACCTATAAGTGAATTAAATGCAAAAATTGAAGGAAAAGACAATTATTCAAATGAAGAGGAATCAAATGAAAGTGAAGATGGAAAAAAGGACAAATCCAGTGACGATGAAATATTTTTAAAAGATAAATTAAGCGGAAATGAAATTCATGAAAAATATCTGTCTTTTGTGAAACATTACATTAATGGAGAGTTTGAATACAAAGGTACTAGAAAATTGAACTGTATACCTGCTGTAAGCGACCATCAGTCAGTTTGTCCTTGTATTGTGTGTGGAGACCAGGCTGTTGGCATGTACTTTGGTATTATGGTGTGCTATAGGTATGTTTTTATTATCTTTGAAGGACCTTGGGTAGAAAACTGTCATCAAAGTTTTCTTGGCTTCCTTTGAAAGCATGATTTACATGTTGTTCTGCAGCTTGGTAATGATGAGTTGTTTGGTGAAGGCAATTTTTATATAATCTGACGTGCTACCACTTCCTGTTTGCTGATAGCTTGAAATTTGACAACACTCATATGCATGTTTCTTTTAAGTCTTTTTCTATTTTTGCCATGGCATTGTCAGTGTATTTTTGACTTGTGGCTTTGATTGTCCCTTTGGTATATTTGCCAAACTCTTTCATAGTTGATTAAATGAAGAAAAATTGAGTCAAAGTTTTCTTGCCTTCTATTGAAGGGAATGATTTTATATTGGTCTGTAGATTGGTAATGACAAAAAAATGAATGATCAGATGTAGGTTGTAAGCTATTTTAACATCTACTGTGCTGCTACTTCCTGTTTGCTCATAGTTTGATATACAGCACTTATTTAACATTAGGAAAATTTTAGTGGAAGTTTGATTGCCTTTATTGAAAAAAAATGATCAGTTATACTCCAGTATACAAACCTCAATCCATGACATGTGGTGATGCCGTTCCATACACAGTATTGGTCTTGTTTATAATGACAATACTTGACAAATGTTTAGGATTTTGATTTTTTTATTCATTTATTGATGCTTTGCTTCCTTTAATTTGTTTTTTTATTTCAAATTTAGTAAAGAGAATTTCCATACACAAATTGAACTGTGGAAGTTGTTTAAATTAAATGTCTCTAAACAAAAAAGAATAAGTAGTACATCAATTGCAAGAGAGAAAAAATATATAAATACTTTTTTGTCCCTAAACAGTCATTTTTTATTTCATTTTTTTTAAGGTTAAGATATTTTTCTAATTTTCTTTTGTAGTTGTCGTACTTTCATAGTTGCTACTGTACAGTACAGATCAATCCTCAAGTGTGATGCACAGTCTAACTGTACCATTTATTTCCGTAAGGAGATATGTCCACATTGTCGATTTAAAAAGTGCCTTTGGGCTGGAGCTGTTGTTGCAGGTAAGTTCTTAACCAGCCAGTTTGATGGGGTGATTTACATTCCTAGGTTGACTGTGGAATTCATGCATTGAATGATAGTTTTCACACTAGACCACACTTGTCAAACAGCCCAACTATGTTGAATTTCTATCAGGACTAAGAATTTCCACCTTATATTTTTTTAGCTCACCTGGCCCTTTCTCATCACTTGGCATTCGTTGATCGTCGTTGTCCGTCGCCCGTCGTCGTTAACTTTTACAAAAATCTTCTCCTCTGAAACTACTGGGCCAAATTTAACCAAACTTGGCCACAATCATCATTGGGGTATCTAGTTTAAAAAATGTGTCCGACCTGGCCAACCAACCAAGATGGCCACCATGGCTAAAAATAGAACATAAGGGTAAAATGTAGATTTTGGCTTATATCTCTGAAACCAAAGCATTTAGAGCAAATCTGACAAGGTTAAAATTGTTCATTAGGTCAAGATCTATCAGCCCTGAAATTTTCAGCCCCTGAATTAGTAATTTTAAGAAAATTTTGCAGTTTTTGGTTATTATCTTGAATATTATTAAAGATAGAGATAAACTGTAAACAGCAATAATGTACAGCAAAGTAAGACCTAAAAATAAGTCAACATGACCAAAATGGTCAATTGACCCCTTAAGGAGTTATTGCCCTTTATAGTCAATTTTTAACAATTTTTATAAATTTTGTAAATTTTTACAAAATATTTTCCACTGTAACTACTGGGCCAAGTTCATTATAGATAGAGATAATTGTAAGCAGCAAGAATGTTCAGTAAAGTAAGATCTACAAACACATCACCATCACCAAAACACAATTTTGTCATGAATCCATCGATATCTGTGTCCCTTGTTCAATATGCACATAGACCAAGGTGAGCGACACAGGCTCTTTAGAGCCTCTAGTTTTAAATGCTTGTTGGGCTTGTGGCTGTAAAGTTTATCATGAAGACCAGTCTGATTAAAATCAAACATCTCAGTGCTCCAGATTTTGGATATGTCCTGTGGGAGCTCCCACATGTGACATATAAATAAATGATAGCTAGTTAGAATTTGATTTTAATCAGACTGCATGAAGACTAGATTGATGCAAGAAAAAAGGAATTCATTAGAAATGTAGGTCTCAAAAACTTGAAAAGTTGAATTTGATGGATTAATCTGCAAAAGTCATGAAAAGTTAATATGAATAAAATGTTTTTTGATTTATATGGCAAGAATACATTCTATCAACACAAAATGAAATTTACATACAGTTTAGCATCATGTCTTCATGGCCTGTCTTCAACAATACACAGGTGTTTATGCAATGAATCAAGCTCTTAATCCACCAAAGTGTATAGAATTATTTCTTCAGTATTACATGTCCAGTAATTGCAAAGTGTTATCATTTTATTGTGAAAACCTTATCTTATCCCGACTTCTCTAGGAATGTCAGTTTCCGACCAAAATTCAGTAGTTCTCTCCAGTTTCCTCTTCCAATAAAAACTGACTGCCATGACTTGGGGGTTAAACACCAATAAATCAATCAATTAACCAATCTTATACCCATAGAATTTTCGTCAGCGTCTTTTGATAAGTGAGGGTAAAGTTTGCATTTGACTATTTTCCAAAAACAAAAATAAGTAGAAAAAAGCATCAAGTTTTATTGTAAATATGATTGATTGATTGATTGATTTTCCATTTTCCTTCCAAAAACAAAAATAAGTAGAAAAAAGCATCAAGTTTTATTGTAAATATGATTGATTGATTGATTGATTTTCCTTTTCCTTCCTAAAACAAAAATAAGTAGAAAAAAGCATCAAGTTTTATTGTAAATATGATTGATTGATTGATTGATTTTCCATTTTCCTTCCTAAAACAAAAATAAGTAGAAAAAAGCATCAAGTTTTATTGTAAATATGATTGATTGATTGATTGATTTTCCATTTTCCTTCCTATAACAAAAATAAGTAGAAAAAAGCATCAAGTTTTATTGTAAATATGATTGATTGATTGATTGATTTTCCATTTTCCTTCCTAAAACAAAAATAAGTAGAAAAAAGCATCAAGTTTTATTGTAAATATGATTGAGTGATTGATTGATTTTCCATTTTCCTTCCTAAAACAAAAATAAGTAGAAAAAAGCATCAAGTTTTATTGGAAATATGATTGATTGATTGATTGCTTAACATCCAGTGGCAAATATTTCATACATGTTCAGGACGAAAACAAATTAACTTTAAATTCAATATGTAGGTCCTGAAAAGGAGGTCGTCAGGGATGAAGGTTGAGGAAATTTGGGCTCCCTCTGGTTAATGAGGATATATTGGATAGGGACAGAAATTCTAACTTGCAGCAGGCCACCTACGAAACCCCTTAAAGAGTTAATGTATGGGTTTTTAATGTGCAGAAAGTGTCAGATTTACATCCCCATTCTGACCAGACATGACTGACATGGCTGAGATCTTGTACACCCAGCATATTCAAAGGCACGCCTCCACCTTGGTATGTGGTCTTAATGTGCAGATAGTGTTGGATTTAATGTCCCCATTCTGACTGGACATGTAAATCCTACACAGCTAAACGATTCCCCACTTTTGGCAAGGGTTTTACTGCTCAGGCCTCTACAATAACTTTTTTTTCAACTTGTCCAATAGGACAAGTGCATACCAAAACTTACTTGTCCGAATGGAATTGTAACTTGTCCAAAAAAAAAATCTTTATATTAACCTTTTTTGCATTTTAAGTTAATTCAATGAACAAAATGAATTAAAACAATAGAACAGGATTTAATTTATAACTCTTGATATCCTTTTCAAAAATATGAGTCGAGAACAACTAAATCTAGTCATCACACAGGACTTCATTTCTAGTTTTCATCAATGCCAAAGGCTCATCAGACTCTGCACATGAGGCACAGTCTGGTAGGCCTGTCAGTCTACACTCATTTGGTATGTATCCTGGTCTTTTATGTTGATAAAATATTGATTATTATGATTAATGCCTTACTACAGTCAGCTTTGTTTTTAATATATTAAAATGTTTATTCAAATGCAATCAAGTATTGTATTGTCTACATATGATCAAATATGATTTTATGAATTTTATGGTCAACAATTTTTTGATCTTTATTTTTAAAAATATTTTTGTTAAATAAAATTCATAATATTCATTATAAAGCAACAGAATAAGGTAGAGAAACGAGGTACTGGTTTGTGCTGGTCCCTAAATTTCTCCTATGGTGCCAAACTGTCTATTAAACATGGAGCCCATCCGGTGCTGATTTGCCTTGTTACCTTATCTACAAAGCGCATCGCTGATTCTGATCAGTAAGACTGGTTTCCAAGAATAGTATGTGTTTAATCTGTTATAAAGTATCTGACAAAGAACCAGTAATGATCGATCGCAAGTAAACCAACTTCCGAAGCAAGGTTGTCTGCTCCCCAGACTTTCCCGAAGTCCTGCGTTTAACATTGGTTGCCGAGTTTATGAGCTTTGGTCCTTGCTTGGAAGTTGCAAGTAAACATGTCAAATTAATATTTGTTTTTATCTTCTTTTCTTGTTTTTTGTTTATTAGTTTGATCATCAAAATTGGATTTAATTTATTTTCTACAGAATGATTTTACTTGTTCCGTCGGACAAGCTTGATATGGCTCTTACTTGTTCGACCTTTTTTTCCTCTGGTACCGGACAATTGGACAAGCATTATTGTCGAGCGCTGCTGCTGCTTGAAAGAAGACCAACAGTGCCCATATTTCCATTCCCCAGTTACCCTTGGGGTGTGGAAATATTGCTTTACCATTTTGTACAAAAAGATAGCTCATAATTTCTCTATGATGGCTTGACAATTCTTATACTTTTCAGAGGTTCCACTTAGACTACAAAAACTGAGACAGTTTAAACAATCTCTCACAGTTAAAAGGAAAAAGGTATGTTTATGAAATATTTATCTAATGTATAAGAGCAAAATGATGAGAAGCGAGTGAAACAAATTTGAAATGCAGTTTTAAGAAAATATCAATTTTCATATTGTTCAAATTAGACAAAACAATTTCACAGAAGTGTGAGAATAAACCTAACCCTGTATGGTGGCCTACAGTTGTTTGAATATGCTTTGTTTAGACTACAAATTAGTTCCAACTCAAATCATTTCATATCTTCAATATTTTCTCAACATTTTTATGCAATCAATTTTATTCCTTTTTTTACTCTACTTAATTTATTAGATCTGGAGATTCTTTTTATATTTTAAGCAACCCAAGAGGAATTCAGAACGTATTAAAATGAAAACTTGTATAAAACCAGCCACTGCCACCAAACCTGCTCCAACGATGTATTTAACCAGTGATACAGACTGTGATAACAAAGATGACTGTGATAAACTTGTTGACAATTCTTATCCAATCAAATCGTCAGGAGGACAGAAAAATCACAGAAGATCTGAAAAACTAACTACAATTTCTGATTCTCGTATCAAAAGTGAAAGTTCAAAAGTGACCTTGTGTTCTGGTATTAAGGAGACAAGTAGTACTGAAATACCGCTCAAACCATTGTCAGAAAATAATAATATGGAAGAAAATTTTCACTACTTTAAACAAAATCCCGGACCAATAAGCACAAGTGATATTTTGACGGATTGGCAAAGGCTGCATAAAAGTGTTCAGGAACAATTTCAAAAATTGAAGAATTAACAAAACTTTTATAGTTACAAAACAAAGAAAAGTCCTTATGAATAATTAATTCAATATCAAATCAATTTTTTCATTTCCATTCTAATGCAATAAAGCATATAATTACACTTTTGATGGGATTACTCTGAATTGCAACCATCAATTGATTTGATTTGATGGTTGCAAAAATCTGTTTAACTAGATTGACTTAATGTCGCCAGTATAACTGTAATTGGGTCTGTCAAATCTCCAATTGACCATGGCAACTATTCAGATACAATCCTATATTTCTTGATTATGCAAGATGGCTGTGTGGTAACAAAATTGTGCATAGGACCCTTGTCTTTTTTGTTTTTTTGTCATATTTCTAGTCTTATTTGTCACCCAATTAGTCTCTATTAGAGATAAATAATACTTTCAATTAGATATGTGGTATGTGCCAATGAGACAGCAACCCAAGGAAAACATAATTGAAGAGGGTTTCAATCAGTTTATACCAATATACAGCATCTTTACAATATTTCAAGCTCTTTATCGTCTATTTTTCCATTCAAAACATTTATTTTAAATGTAAACAAGGAAGACTTGTTGGTTGGTTTTAAGTCAGAATAATATATATAGGGTGACAAGAAGGAAGCTCTATACTAAATACTTCTAAACACAATGAATTATTTGAATCTGGAATAATTTTGAATTCTGGAAAATTGATAAGAAATGTATGATGAAAACTAACCTAATTTAGATGGGTTAGTCTTGAATTATCAGTGAAAGTAAAATTAACCTTAGCTCATTGCTAACCCTATTTAGTTGGTAAGGGGAAAGGTTGGTGCTTTCAAACTTAGTCCCGCCACATTTTAGATGTGCCTGTCCCAAGTCAGGAGCCGGTTTTAAATTGAGTGGTTGTATTTTTCATCATTCGTTGAGGGCATGTTTTTTTTTAAAATAATTTGTTCCATTCTAAATTTCATGAACACAAACTTGTTACAGAAGGAATGTGAACCTTCAGACGAAAGAAATCTTTAAAAGTTAGGCGCAAAGCACCTTGTGAACCTGGAAACTTGGAGCTGCAACTTCATCTAAAATATATAAACCACATCTCCTTATTGTTATATACTAGTCATACTAGGGAACTTATTATAACTTCATAAACACAACAACATGATTATGCACAGTAGTGATACTTTATTGAATTATATTGACTCTGACAGCTGCTGTTAGAGGAAACATCTGCTGTACTATTGGAAGCCTGAAATAGAAGTTGAAAAATAAAGGTAAAATACTTGACAACATTGGAAATTCTGGTGTCAAATAATAATAATTATGATAATATGTATTAATAATTGTCCCTAAGAATTTAACTTTTCATTTTATGGTTGGTATCTCTCCGACGACGACGGAATGTAGAATAGCATATGTCTGTATGTCTCGCCTCCTCGGTTTCCGTCGCAAGCTCCAGAAAATTGAACTAAAGATATAAATTTTGAAATACATGTACTTCTTGTCATATATTCTAGTGACCACATCAAATGGAATGACATATCTTATGATGGCAGAAATTAAGGAAATTTAAAGAAAACAAATTACATATTCCAAATTGAAACTGTAGGAGTCACCAAATGGCTTCCTACATATACTATCCACCAAAGCTGTTCCGAAAACTGTAATCTCCAAAAGTTCTCTAAATCTATACACGAAGTGATGTGCACAATTTCAATGTATATACAAACCTATTAGAGAGTCTTTCCCTTTTTCCTCTAATTATCATAAAGTTGAAAACAACAGTTTATTTGGAGTTTTTCAAAACAACAGTTAATCCGAGATTTGTGAAGATTGAGAGGAAAATGTACAAAAGATTCTCTGGCCGGTATATATTTTTTCAAACTCTGTTATCAATATGCATTCAAGATTAACATTATCATTTTTTAGCTCTGTTATAAATATATTTACCAGTGGAATTATATGTGAACAGAAAGAAAACTGAATATGTGTCTTGAAAAAATTACAAATACTATGATCTGTTAGCTATAACCGGTTGTATAGAACTTACAGAAATTACTTTCACAGACATAGGGAATGACGTAGTTACATGGGTAGTCGTACCATATACCATTGCTGTAGTGCATCATAACACAGTTATATGTGTAGGAGTATGAATTACTGGTTGGAAAAGGTCTTCCTGAATTAAAGTGCTTGTAGCTTAACTGAGTTTGATCATATATCCATCTCCAGTCACCATTGACAACATCTGTAGACCCCAGCCAGAAATATGTTTCTAAACGGAAATAAAAGGATACAAAACTATCCTTACCCGCAATATTTATTAAACTTTAATGTATTTTGGTTACCCAAGTTTTTGGTATCGAGCGTACCTGACTAAGTTATTTCAAATGTAAACAGTATTACATGCTTCTTAAAAAGACTGGAACATTCGTTCCTGTACAGGTATCATAGAGTCTAAAACTCTGACTTATATATCAACTATACACTAATCAGAAAAACTAAGAATTACAGTTCTCATATAAGAAGATTCATAAACTGATGGCGGTAAATACTACAACCATTGCACCAATCCAAAGTTTATTTATTCGAACTAGACAAGTTACGATTTTTAGATATGCAGTTAGTTATTAAATCTGTTAATAGATCATTGCGATCAAATTCCAAAACTTTTGAACTATCCAGACGGACTTTGGTGTAAAGAAAGTATGACAAGTTAAAGAGGTAAGGTGTATATGTGAACGAGACAGCAATCAAACAACACAAAACAACAAAAGACATCCAGAGATAAACGTATGGTCTTTAACAAAATACAGGTAAAATGTTGTCCGTTTTATGGAATTTATTTATTTCTCTATTGGTGCATGATATACATAATGTATTGATTGATATTTGTTTGTACACTTTTTACACAAAATATATACACTAGAAATGTTCAACTTACTTTTGCTACTTTTACTTATTTGCTGTTTTATCCAACTATTTTCTGAGGAATCATCAATCTTCACTAGATATCCACCAATCTCTCTGCATTTTCTCTACAAATATAATATACTTTGACCAATGTGAATTTTTAGTTTTCGCATTTTTGTGAAATATTTTTCACACATCATTTACACGTGAATAAATAAAAGCACAATGTTAATCCTTAATAAGTAACACAATGATAAAATAGTTTGGATGAAATATACTTTCAGTGATGATCATATGCCATAGCGAAACAGACTGTTTTTCTGCAAGATATGAAAACATAATAAATCTAAGCTCACCTCTGCATCAGTCCATTTAACACTGTCATCTCCAATATAATAACAGTGTGTGTTGTACTTTATCCATTGTCTCCCTGAATGAGAATGAAATTTGCATAAAGCAGTAAAGAAAACTGACAATAACTGCAATGTCAGAAGATAATGTACAAGTACTCGGATGAGTTTCTGGTGAAATATAATAAATGTTTTTAATGCATTTAGTGTGTAAACATAGAGATTGGTGTTAGTTAACTAAATATTTGTTATCAATTTTTCTTTTGGGGAATTATCTGATTAAAAAATATTAAAAATCTCACGTTTGAAATCCTCTTCCATCAATGTCATGTCCTTGTCTAAAGCCTGCACCTTGTACTTGATAGAATTGGCTTGGCTTTTCAGGTAGTTTTCAAGGCTTTTTAATGCATTTCTGGCTTTGTTAAAATCTTGCTTGGATTTGTTAGTTAAACATGGTAACGAAAATACAGTCCCGTACACCACACAAACCACAAAGAAGGTAATCAGTAAGACAGATGTCATTCTGTAAAAAGGAAATAATGGTGCATTTTGTACGAGGAAAAAAAACAAAATATTCTTTTTATTAAAAAAAAAACACACAAAAAAAAACAGCAAAAAAAGAGAACAAACAGCAACAACACCCCATAAAAGATAAAAAATGCTTTTTTTCGCACATTTAAAAAAAAAAATATTCTGCTATATGTGTACTTACTTGCTACAATCAGTCCATGCAACAAAAACAAAAGGTAAAACAATTTAAACCACTTTTATACCAACACGGAGCATTAAGATAACATTAGGATGAAAATCAATTTTTATTATAATGTAATGATATTCCTGGCCGGCCTTTTATGCTGTGTCAGCATTCGATATCACCAACAAAATATAGTCGGTCGACTGTTTATTTTCAAAGAGGGTAACTTTTCTTTAAATCTTCTTATGCAAAAATCGTTTATTGACAAGTTAATTTAAAATAAATTTCTTCATGATTGAGTGAATTCATTAAAAAAATAATGAACGATGCTTACATAACAATTTGACCTATAAAAAGGAAGACTGGACAATATATGTAACAATGTGATGAATTTGGTATAATGAACCTGATTTTGGCTTGGATTTTATTTGCATATATATAAAAGGAGATGTGGATAGTAAGTTAATAAGACAGCAACCTAACCACCCAATTATCAAAAACCAAGTGGTAAAATAACAACATTATACTGGCGTCTATACAAAATTAAAAAAAATACGATGTAGAATTGAAAATGGAAACGGGGAATGTGTCAAAGAGACAACAACCCGACCAAAGAGCAGAAAACAGCCCAAGGCCACCAATGGGCCTTCAACGCAGCGAGAAAATCCTGCACACGGATGCGGGGTTCAGCTGGAACCTAAACAATAATATATACTTGTTCAGCGAAATGAACGCCACACTAAACTCATAAACATATTTTATGAATCAAAATTCAAAAGACAAAGGCATTACCCCTTTTCCCAACTTGAAGTGTCATTCATATTAAAAGAAATCATGAAAAAATTAATATAATATGATATGTATTTGTATTTTGAATAGCTTCTTACAAAAATAAAGAGACGTGGTATGATTGCCAATAAGACAACTATCCAGTTCAAAAGAAGTGGATGTAAGCAATTATAAGCAACCGTACGACCTTCAATATTGTAAAAATCCATACTATTATTTAGACTTTTTGATTTTCCTATTGCACAAAGGTGTCAACATCTGACATTTGCGATTTAAGTGAAACAGATACAGGTAAAACTGGCCATACTCTTTAAAAAAAATCTTTGTCTAAAGGTGAAAAAAATCATTGCAA